GCATCCTGAGGAAGGAAAATTATGTGGATATATTGAAGCAACATCTCAAGACATCAGTCAGGAAGTTAAAGCTTGGTCACAAATGGGTCTTCCAAATGGACAATGACCCCAAGCATACTTCCAAAGTTGTGGCAAAATGGCTTAACTACAACAAAGTAAAGGTATTGTAGTGGTCATCACAAAGCCCTGACCTCAATCCTATAGAAAAGTTGTGGGCAGAACTGAAAAAGTGTGTGCGAGCAAGGAGGCTTACAAACCTGACTCAGTTACACCAGCTCTGTCAGGAGGAATGGGCCAAAATTCACCCAACTTATTGTGGGAAGCTTGTGGAAGGCTACCCGAAACGTTTGACCCAAGTTAAACAATTTAAAGGCAATGCTACCGAATACTAATTGAGTGTATGTGAACTTCTGACCCACTGGGAATGTGATGAAATAAATAAAAGCTGAAATATATCATTCTCTCTACTATTATTCTGACATTTCACATTCTTTAAATAAAGTGGTGATCCTAACTGACCTAAGACAGGGAATTTTTACTAGGATTAAATGTCAGGAATTGTGAAAAAATGAGTTTAAATGTATTTGGCTAAAGTGTATGTAAACTTCCGACTTCAACTGTATATATATTTTTTAAATATATTTTCCATCATTATTTTCTCCTAACCCTACCACCCCTCCCCTAATTGGAGTAAACTAATGGACAACAACACAGGCTTCTACTTCTAGCTTATACATACTATATACATTTTACAGACACAATATATTCTACAATAGTTATCTTTTGTTTCTTTTTAATCCCATCCTTCAGCTACCCTCAACCCCTCCAATCTATCTCTGAAGACCATCCAGTTTGATTTCTATTTGACATATATTTTGAACTGTTCTGTTTCACAAAAGTTCTGAACCTATATACATTTTATGGACACAGTATATTTTACATTAGTTATGTTGTTGTTTTTAATCCCACCCTTCAGCTCCACTCAACCCCTCCCATCTATCTCTTAACACCATCCATTTTTTATTTCAATTTGCCATATAGTTTTCAACAGTGCTGTGATTTTTTCACAAAACTTCTGAAACTTTCTATTCTCATAGTTTCTACAGATTGTATATTAAAGATAAACATTTTTGCTAAAAGTATTATAATATTATTGATCGATTGGCTATGACTTTTCAAATCACCCAGCAGTGCTATTTGCAGAGTTAGCTCCAGATAAATGTTGCAATTCTTCAGCCATTACTGGACCTGCGACCAAAAACAAGCTACATATGGACAGTACCAAAACAAATGATCTAATGATTCTGTATCTTCGCAACAAGATCTGCAGAGCTAGGATGGTTGTATCCCCCATATATATAACATTCTATTGGTTGCAAGAATTGTTATAATAATTTACATTGAAAAATTCTAAGTTTTGAATCTGCCGTCGTTTTGCGTATCAGTTCATAAACCATGTGCCATGGAATCGGTATATCAAAAATCTCTTCCCAACTATTTTGCAATCTATATGGCACAGCTGTCCATTTTTGGTCCTTAAATTAAACTGGTATACTTTTTTATTCATCACAATTTTCTTTAACCTATTTTGGTCTTTAATGCGGGGCTGACAGACAAGTTCCTTACTTTTTCCCCCTTCCACTTTCCTCTTCCATTTTTGCGGTAATGCTGCAATTAGTTGATTGTAGTTTTGGGTAGAGCAGACATATATTTGTGTTAGCTGCATGTGTGACAACTCCACCAGTCCTATTTATGATATAATTTACAAAGATTAGACTTTTTAGATTTTTAATTCTTCAAAAATAACGTTTCTTTTAATCAATTAGTATATTTGAGTTTAACCATAATATTTGTTGGATTATTTGTTCTGTCTTTTCTGGTGGATTAAATTGAAATAGCAACCAACTTTCTATGGCTTGTTTTAGAAATAGTGATATTTGGGAGATGATTTCCTTTTCAAATAACTGCAAGTGAGAGGTTGTAATCTGAATAAAGGGAAAAAGGCCATTCTTGACCATGTGGTGAGACATTCTTACTAATCTGCTAGAGAACCAGTTCGGATTTAAGTATAACTTTTGAATGACTGAAGCCTTTATTGAGAGGTCTAATGCTTTAATATTTTATAATTTCTACCCTCCAAATTCATATTCATTATATAAATAGGCCCATTTAATTTGGTCTTGTTTGCAGTTCCAAATAAAATTGAATATTTTTTTTATTTAAAAAAAACAGGTCGCTAGGTGTAGGCAAGGCCATAAGCAAATAGGTAAACTGGGATATGACTACAGAGTTCATCAGGGTGATTTTTCCACAAATAGACAGGTATTTTCCTTTCCATGGTAGCAAGATCTTATCTGTTTTTTGCTAACTTTCTATTAAAATGTATTGTAGTGAGATAATTTATTTCTTTTGGGATATGAATAGCGAGTAGGTCCACTTCACCATCAGACCATTTTATTGGTAAACTACATGGTAATGTAAAAAAAGTAATAATGTGTGCTCCAATACGTAATATAGTACATTTATCATAATTTGGTTGTAATCCAGAGAGGTTAGAAAAAGTATCTAGATCCTCTATGAGGCTGTGGAGGGATCCAAATTGTGGATTTAAAAGAAAACATTAATCATCAGCGTACAATGAAACCTTTGTTTTTAAGCCCTGCATTTCCAGCCAGATATTATTGTTGGATCTGATTTTAATAGCTAACATTTCGATGGCCATAATTAATAGATATGCCGATAGTGGACAACCTTGTTTTACTCCTCTTGACAGTTTAATACTTTCTGAGAAGTAGCCATTATTTACTATTTTAAACCTAGGGTTGCTATACATAACTTTAACTCATTGTGTAAGAGATTCTCCAAAATTAAAATATTCCAGGCATTTATATATAGATTCCAGTCGTACTTTAACAAAAGCCTTTTCAAAGTCAGCTATGAATACAAGGCCTGGTTTTCCCCAGATTTTTCATAGTGTTCTATTGTTTCCAGTACTTGTTTTATATTATCTACAATGTATCGTCCATGTTAAAAACCTGTCTGATTAGGATTAATAATATCCGGCAATACCTTTTTTATTCTATGCGCTATGCAATTTGCTTACAATGTTGAATCACAACACTGAAGTGTAAGGGACCTCAAACATTTTTAATGGACTGGATCTTTATATTTACCACTTGGGTCCTGTTTCAGTAAAAATTAAATCAGACCTTCTTGTTGAGTATCTGATAATCTACCATTTTTGTAGGGGTGGTTAAAACATGCTAATAATGGTCCTCTGAGTACATCAAAAATGGTTTGGTATACCTCAACTGGTATGCCATCCAGCCCAGGAGTTTTCCCAGACTTACAGTAAAGGCTTTAATTGCATCAAGAAGTTCCTCCTCTGTAATTTGGCCTTTACATACAATTAACTTCAGTTAGTGGAGATGGAGGAGACTGAAACGAAAACAAATGCTTAAAGTACTTTGCTTCCTCTTTCAAAATATAGTTTGGTGAATCATGGGTGACTCCGTCATTTGTAACAAGTTTCAGTAAATTATTTTTGGAAGCATTACTATGTTGAAGATTTTTTTTTAAATGGTGCATTTTTCCCCATATTTTTTCCCCATAAACTTTTGGTGCCAGCGAGAATTACATAAGAATGTAGAGATGACTAGATGACTAGCTTGATTGTTCCTCCGCCATGTATATCTCACTAGGTCAGCATATTTAAGCCTCCATATATCCACTAGTTCCAATATATCCATGATATTCGTGATTTCCTTAAGTGCATGAGGGTGATAGTTTGTAGTGTGATTACCTTTACGGTTCATTGAGGTATTTAAAACCGTATTATAATCTCCCACCATAATAATAGAGTCTTGTATTGCTAGTAGGTTTGATAAATTATTATATATATTTTCAAAGAAGCATGGATCATAATTATTTGGACCGTATAGATTAATGAGTCAAATCAGATTATAGTCCAATATATTTTTTTAAATAATCCATCTACCTTGCAGATCTATTTGGACAATTTGCACATTCGGATCAAAAATGTTTTTAATTAATATCATCACCGCTTTTGAGTTTCTTTGCCCATGGGAGAAGTATATTTCGCCCCATTAAAAAGTACCGTAATGATTGCGTGTCCATACAGCTGTACCATGGTATTTGCACTGCTAAACACAACCAGTCATGATGTTTTCATCTGATTGTCAAACAATCACTTCAAAAGGTCGCTCCTGTTGGCTACCCACACACGTTTTTCCACTCACAAAATAAATCCAGCATCCAATCAGTGCACTGTGCACCCGCAATTTGATTAATGGAAAGAGACATCTGTAACAAAAAACCTGAAATTGTAATGACATTTAGCGATTGATACGTCCACTGCTGTACACGCGTGTCTCAGTCTCGGCCACTTATCTCTGCCTTAGCAAAATGTTAGTGTTCTCGCCGAACCACAACGCAATTTGGAAGTTATACCACCTGTTTTCACTGTGTGCTCTTTTTGAAGGATGGGTCCCTGTCTCTCGGGGGCCATGGGATACGGGGGGACAGGGGTGGTCTGCTGGTCACTGGGACGACAACCCAACTTGGGATGGGGGGAGGTTTTAGCGGGTGGAATAGTGGAGAACAATTGGAGGTTTACTTAGTAGCAATGCAAATATCATGGTACGGCTATATGGACACTCAATCAGTATGGTACTTTTTAATGGTACAAGCATAGTGTTAGCAATCCTGCTATGCTTTTGATGTCAGGATGGGCGCGTATCACTCGAACGTGACGTTTGATGGTAAACAAGAAATGGCTCTATATAGTCCTGAGCTGTTGCTCTGTGTGTAGCCGAAGACAGAGGTGGTACTGGGCAGTGTGATGTTTTACCAGATATTCTAACGTGCCATGGTTGTAACGGAGTGCAATCCTGTCTTTGCGTGTGTGTGTGTGTGTGTGTGTGTGTGTGTGTGTGTGTGTGTGTGTGTGTGTGTGTGTGTGTGTGTGTGTGTGTGTGTAGCTAAAGACAGAGCCAGTGCTGGGTAGTGTGATGGATGGGATCAACATTAAGAGTCTGGAGGAGAGATCTGAGGGTGACGTGGCCAGCCCATCCTCTACTGGCACACAGGTAACAGGTTACACTACAGTACACACAACACACACAACCACAGTTAACACTACACTCACTACACACACACAAATAACACACAACCACAGGTAACACTACGCTCATTACACACGGCACACACACGACACACACATAACACACAAGCAATAGGTTACACTACACTACACACAACACACACACAACCAGGGGTTAAAATAAGCCAGTATGGTATGGTACGGTGTCCCGGCAAAATAAATAGTTGAGCCTATCACAATAATTAAAATGAAATTCCAAGAAAGCTATAGGCAATTACACCATTATTTAACATTACCACATGTCAGCTGCATGAAAATGAGCGAATTTACTTGAAAACGGGCGGTATACCCTCCAAATTGTGTTGTGGTTTGGTGAGAACACTAACAGAGTTAGACAAATTGCCGAGACCGAGACACGCGTGTACAGCAGTGGACGCATCAATCGCTAAATTTCATTACAATTTCAGGTTTTTTGTTACAGATGTATCTTTCCATTCATCAATTTGCGGGTGCACAGTGCACTGTTTGGATGCTGGATTTATTTTGTGAGTGGAAAAACGTGTGCGGGTAGCCAACAGGAGCGACCTTTTGAAGTGATTGTTTGACAATCAGATGAAAACATCATGATTGGTTGTGTTTATGCCACATTAAAGGTAATACATGATAAAAGTTATATGATACATTTTTACTAGGCCTACTAGGCCCACGGAGATTAGATAAATAAATAAATAAACTAAATCAATGAGGATTCTATATGTAATTCTATGATTAGACCCATGAAATATTTGTAAAAAATAGTAGGTCCCATACTGATACAGACACACCGAGAAATCTGACTGCAGATAGGTACTTAGCACAATAAGAGGCCATTCCTTCTCTTGCTAGAACAAAAGCTGTCTCTGCTGTGTACTGACCTGGTACCAACGATCCTGCCATTTATACTTGTAGAATCGCAATGCTCGTCAGTGGCCAAGAGCTTGACTTTGAGCCAATCAGAGAGCACAAACCTCCATGTGGGGGAGCCGACAGAAGAGACAAGAAAAATGAAAAAAAATAGGGCACATTGCCCAGTGTAATCCACCCCCTTTTCATCCGCATTGTTCTTACTAAAACAATAAAGCTGCATAAAACATATTTTTATTATTTTGTTAGGTTCAATTTGATAATATGCACCTGCTCATTAGTTAGCAAGCTAACTAGTTAACGTTAGCTTGCTAACTGAGCCAGGAAGTCACACACACTTCATATGTAACGAATGGGGTGGTAAGTGCAGCACAATGCACACAACACTACATGTTTGTCTTTATCAAGCTATCTTTCTAGCAAGATGATGAATCATTGAATTCACTTTCCATTATTCCATACTGCCAATGCCAGTTCGCTTGCTAGCTAACGTTAGCTAAACGGTTAGCACAACATAGCTAGCACAACATAACTAGCTAGCTACTCCACCGACTCTCGACAGCTAACAGGCAGCTGCTTTATTCAAAAACAAATCCATTGTGATTTAATTATAATGTTGCTACCTACGCTAGTTATTTAGTTGTGGCCATCTGGTTAGTATCAACAACGGCTTACTACAAATTCTAGTTAGCTAGCAACAACATTAACGCAGCTTGCTAGTTAGCTTACATTAGCTACAGCAGGCACAAGTCAAACAAGCTACTGCCACCTTGTGGCCTGGAGTATTTAAGCGAAGCAAATCAGAGGTAAACTGTTCTATGTGAACAACAAAAACTTAACTGCCACACTCTGGGCAGAGGTGCTAAGTACCTATCGGCAGTCAGATTTCTCGGTGTGTCTGACCCTTAAGAAATTAAATCTACTTTCACCCCTGCACACAAAACACACACACACAACACACACACTTTGAAAAGAAGGTTGACAACATCCGCTCCTCATTCACTCAGCCTATTGAGTCCACTGGTCCCACTCGAACAGATCTACCCTACGCCTTGATCTCTTTCTCCCCTCTATCTCCAAGGGGAAATCCTGCAACTAGTGAGGTCCTGCCGCCCGACATCCTGCCCGCTCAGCCCCATCCCCTCCTCCCTTCTCCAGACCATCTCTGGAGACCTTCAATTCCTCACTTCCCTCATCAACTCATCCCTGACCACTGGCTGCGTCCCCTCTGACTTCAAAATGGCTAGAGTCACTCCCCTCCTCAATAAACAAACACTCAACCCCTCTGATGTAAAAAACGACCCCTCTTTTCTTTCCAAAACACTTGAGCATGCTGTTTCTGACAACTGTCTCACTATCTCTCTCAGAACGATCTTCTTGGCCCTAACTAGTCAGGGTTCAAGACTCAACCAAGACTGCTCTCCTCTGTGTCACGGAGGCTCTCTGCACTGCCTAAGCTGACACTCTCTCCTCTGTTCTCATCCTCCTAGATCTATCCGCTGCCTTCGGCATCGTGAACCATCATGTCCTCCTCTCCACCCTCTCAGGGCTGGGCGTCTCAGGCTCGGCACACTGTTCGATTGCATCCTACCTGGCAGGCTGCTCCTACCAGGTGATGTGGAGAGGATCTGTGTCTGCACCACATAATCTCACTACTGGTGTCCCCGGGGCTCGGTTCTAGGCCCTCTCCTCTTCTCTCTATGCCCCAAGTCACTCGGATCCGTCATGTCCTCACATGGTCTCTCCTATCACTGCTATTTGGATGACACTCAATTTATTTTCTCCTTCCCCCTTCTCACACCCAGGTGGCGTGCCTGGCAGATATCTCAGCTTGGATGTCGGCACCCCACCTCAAGCTCAACCTCGACAAGACGGGGCTGCTCTTCCTCCCGGGGGAAGGCCCGCCCGCTCCAAGACCTCTCCATCATGGTTGACAACTCTACGGTGTCCCTCTCCCAGAATGCAAAGAACCTTGGCGTGACCCTGGACAACATCAAAGTAGAGACTTGCTCCTGCAGGTTCATGCTCTACAAAATCTGTAGAGTAAGACCCTACCTCACACAGGAAGCGGCGCAGGCCCTAATCCAGGCAATTGTAATCTCCCGTCTGGACTACTGCAACTCTCTGTTGGCTGGGCTCCCCGCTTGTGCCATCAAACCCCTATAACTTATCCAGAACATTGCAGCCCGCCTGGTGATCAACCTTCCCAAGTTCTTCCATGTCACTCCGCTCCTCCGCACCCTCCACTGGCTTCCAGTCGAAGCTTGCATCCACTACAAGACCATGGTACTTGCCTATGGAGCAGCAAGAGGAACTGCCCCTCCCTACCTTTAGGCTATGCTCAAACACCAAACCCCAACCCCAGTACTCCGTTCTGCCACCTCTGGTCTCTTGGCCCTCCCACACCTATGGGAGGGCAGCTCCCGCTTAGCCCAGTCAAAGCTCTTCTCTGTCCTGGAAATGGTGGAACCAGCTTCCCCCTAAAGCTAGGGTAGCAAAGTCCATGCGTATCTTCCGAAAACATCTCAAACCCTACTTCTTTAAAGAGTATCTAAAATTAAAGATGAATGCACAAACTGTAAGTCACTCTGTATAAAAGCTGCTAAAATCTGCTTAATTACTAAAATTTAAATTTTAAATATAGAACATAACACACAGGTAACAGATTACACTACACACTCAACCACACAATCACACATGGCAACACTCAATCACAACTTTTAAACATAGTACCATTTTGCTAACAATATGTGTGAGATTGTCAGAGTGGGAGAGTGTGAAAGAGCGAGAGAGATTGTGGGTATGCGCCTGCATGTGTTTATGTGCTATGTGTTTCAACTATGTACAGTGAGGGAAAAAAGTATTTGATCCCCTGCTGATTTTGTACGTTTGCCCACTGACAAAGACATGATCAGTCTATAATTTTAATGGTAGGTTTATTTGAACAGTGAGAGACAGAATAACAACAAAAAAATCCAGAAAAACACATGTAAAAAATGTTATAAATTGATTTGCATTTTAATGAGGGAAATAAGTATTTGACCCCTCTGCAAAACATGATTTAGTACTTGGTGGCAAAACCCTTGTTGGCAATCACAGAGGTCAGACGTTTCTTGTAGTTGGCCACCAGGTTTGCACACATCTCAGGAGGGATTTTGTCCCACTCCTCTTTGCAGATCTTCTCCAAGTCATTAAGGTTTCGAGGCTGACGTTTGGCAACGAACCTTCAGCTCCCTCCACAGATTTTCTATGGGATTAAGGTCTGGAGACTGGCTAGGCCACTCCAGGACCTTAATGTGCTTCTTCTTGGGCCACTCCTTTGTTGCCTTGGCCGTGTGTTTTGGGTCATTGTCATGCTGGAATACCCATCCACGACCCATTTTCAATGCCCTGGCTGAGGGAAGGAGGTTCTCACCCAAGATTTGACGGTACATGGCCCCGTCCATCGTCCCTTTAATGCGGTGAAGTTGTACTGTCCCCTTAGCAGAAAAACACCCCCAAAGCATAATGTTTCCACCTCCATGTTTGACGTGGGGATGGTGTTCTTGGGGTCATAGGCAGCATTCCTCCTCCTCCAAACACGGCGAGTTGAGTTGATGCCAAAGACCTCGATTTTGGTCTCATCTGACCACAACACTTTCACCCAGTTCTCCTCTGAATCATCCAGATGTTCATTGGCAAACTTCAGACGGGCCTGCATATGTGCTCTCTTGAGCAGGGGGACCTTGCGGGCGCTGCAGGATTTCAGTCCTTCACGGCGTAGTGTGTTACCAATTGTTTTCTTGGTGACTATGGTCCCAGCTGCCTTGAGATCATTGACAAGATCCTCCCGTGTAGTTCTAGGCTGATTCCTCACCGTTCTCATGATCATTGCAACTCCACGAGGTGAGATCTTGCATGGAGCCCCAGGCTGAGGGAGATTGACAGTTATTTTGTGTTTCTTCCATTTGCGAATAATCGCACCAACTGTTGTCACCTTCTCACCAAGCTGCTTGGCGATGGTCTTGTAGCCCATTCCAGCCTTGTGTAGGTCTACAATCTTGTCCCTGACATCCTTGGAGAGCTCTTTGGTCTTGGCCATGGTGGAGAGTTTGGAATCTGATTGATTGATTGCTTCTGTGGACAGGTGTATTTTATACAGGAAACAAACTGAGATTAGGAGCACTCCCTTTAAGAGTGTGCTCCTAATCTCAGCTCGTTACCTGTATAAAAGACACCTGGGAGCCAGAAATCTTTCTGATTGAGAGGGGGTCAAATACTTATTTCCCTCATAAAAATGCAAATCAATTTATAACATTTTTGACATGCGTTTTTCTTGATTTTTTTGTTGTTATTCTGTCTCTCACTGTTCAAATAAACCTACCATTAAAATTATAGACTGATCATGTCTTTGTCAGTGGGCAAACGTACAAAATCAGCAGGGGATCAAATACTTTTTTCCCTCACTGTATTTAATGTTGCTCATCTGAGAACTGCCCATGTACTTCCTGTTGTGTTGAACCCTGACTTCTAACCAATGACCCCTGACCATTGACCTCTACCCAGGATCCTCTGATGGGTCTCCTGGAGGGGCGGGAGGATCTGGATAAGGAGGATAAACCGGAGCCAGAGGCCATCTATGAAACCAACTGCCACTGGGAGAGCTGCAGCAAGGAGTTTGACACGCAGGAGCAGCTAGTCCACGTGAGTAGGGACAGGAGGTTTTCCTGACTACGTGACTTGGCCTGGATAAACTCTGGGCCCCCGGCACTAGTTAGGGCCCAGAGTTTTTCTGGTCAGGTCATGAGCAAAAAGTATTGGCCTTACATATACACACTGTATGCGAGAAGGGAAAGGAGGGGAAAGGTTGGGAACCGTTGGTTTGAGTTAGTCTAGAGTAGCGGTTTCCAACTATGGTCCTGGAGAGCCACACAAAACACAGGATCCGTGTAAAGACTCTTATCAACATTACAATGACAATAAAATCTCTCTGTCTTCCACAGCACATAAACAACGAGCACATCCATGGAGAGAAGAAGGAGTTTGTGTGCCACTGGCAGGAGTGTTCCAGGGAGCAAAGACCTTTCAAGGCCCAGTACATGCTGGTGGTTCACATGCGCAGGCACACAGGAGAGAAACCGCATAAGTGTACTGTGAGTATACTACAGTATTCTGATCGCTCTCTCTCAAACTGAGCTTTGAAATGGACTGTTATATGAATTCAAATTCAGTTTAGAATCAAATTTCAAATTCATAAAATAATTTCAAAAATCATTTTGAGAGAGAGGTACAGTATAGGTAGTATACTCACAGTGCATGTATGTGGCTTTAATCGAAATGCGCTACCTGACAGTGATTACATCAGACCTTGTCTTTCAGTCTACATTACGTATTGGTATTTGTACAGTACGTGTGGTTCAGTTTGAGCAGGTTAACAAGACATTTTGTGTCTGTGTTTCAGTTTGAGCTGTGTTATAATGCGTTATGTGTGTTTCAGTTTGAGGGATGTAATAAGATGTGCATCTATTGTTTCAGTTTGAGGGGTATTATACAATGCATTCAGAAATTATTCAGACCCCTTGACTTTTTCCACATTTTGTTACATTACAGCCTTATTCTAAAATGGATTAAATTGTTTTTTCCCCCTCATCAATCTACACACAATACCCCATAATGACAAAGCAAAATCAGTTTTTTTGACATTTTTGCAAATGTATTAAAAATGAAAAATAAACTGAAATATTATATTTACATAAGTATTCAGACAATGTACTCAGTACCAGTGGTGTAAAGTACTTAAGTAAAAATACTTTAAAGTACTACATAAGTGGTTTCTTTGGGGTATCTATACTTTACTTTACTATTTATATTTTTGCCAACTTTTACTTTTACTTCACTACATTCCTAAATAAAATATTATTCCATACATTTTCCCTGACAGCCAAAAGTACTCGTTACATTTTGACACGAAAATTGTCCAATTCACACACTTATCAAGAGAATGTCCCTGGTCATCACTACTACCTCTGATCTGGCGGACTCACTAAACACACATGCTTAGTTTGTAAATTATGCCTGAGTGTTAGAATGTGCCCCTGGCTATCAGTCAATAAAATAAATAAAATAAAATGGTGACGTCTGGTTTGCTTAATATAAGGAATTTTATATGGTTTATACTTTTACTTTTGATACTTAAGTATATTTAAAACCAAATACAATTTGTAAGTCGCTCTGGATAAGAGCATCTGCTAAATGACGTAAATGTAAATGTAATTGTAAATACTTTTAGACTTTTACTCAAGTAGTATTTTACTGGGTGACTTTCACTTTTACTTAGTCATTTTCTAATACGGTATTTTTACTTTTTAGTCAAGTATGACAATTGAGTACTTTTTCAACCACTGCTCAGTACTTTGTTGAAGCACCTTTGGCAGTGATTACAGCCTCAAGTCTTCTTGGGTATGACGCTACAAGCTTGGCACACCTGTATTTGGGGAGTTTCTCCCATTCTGAGGTCCTGAGTGCTCTGGAGAAGGTTTTCATCAAGGATCTCTCTGTACTTTGCTCCGTTCATCTTTCCCTAGATCCTGACTAGTCTCCCAGTCCCTGCCGCTGAAAAACATCCCTATAGCATGATGCTGCAACCACCATGTTTCACCATAGGGATTGTGCCAGGTTTCCTCCAGACGTGACGCTTGGCATTCAGGTCAAAGAGTTCAATCTTTGTTTCATCAGACCAGAGAATCTTGTTTCGCATGGTCTGGGAGTCCTTTAGGTGGCTTTTGGCAAACTCCCAAGTGGGCTGTCATGTGCCTATTTCTGAGAACTGGCTTCCGTCTGGCCACTCTACCATAAAGGCCTGATTGGTGGAGTGCTGCAAAGATGGTTGTCCTTCTGGAAGGTTCTCCCATCTCCACAGAGGAACTCTGGAGCTCTGTCAGAGTGACCATCGGGTTCTTGGTCATCTCCCTGACCAAGGCCCTTCTCCCCCGACTGCTCAGTTTGGCCGGACGGCCAGCTCTAGGAAGATTCTTGGTGGTGCCAAACTTCTTCACTGTGTTCTTGGGGACCTTGAATGCTGCAGAAATGTTTTGGTACCCTTGCCCAGATCTGTGCCTCGACACAATCCTGTCTCGGAAATCTACAGACAATTCCTTCGACCCCATGGCTTGGTTTTTGCTCTGACATGCACTGTCAACTGTGGGACCTTATATAGACAGGTGTGTGCCTTTCTAAATCATGTCCAATCAATGGAATTTACCACAGGTGGGCTCCAATCAAGTTGTAGAAACATCTCAAGGATGATCAATGGAACAGGATGCACCTGAGCTGAATTTCGAGTCTCATAGCAAAGTGTCTGAATACTTATGTAAATAAGGTGTTTCTGTTTTGTTTTGTTTTTTAATTCTAAAAACCTGTTTTCATTTTGTCATTATGGGGTATTGTGTGTAGATTGATGAGGAACAAAATTAATGTAATCAATTTTAGAATAAGGCTGTAACGTAACAAAATGTGGAAAAAGGGAAGGGGTCTGAATACTTTCCTAATGTACTGTACGTTTGAGCTGTGTTATAATGCTTTATGTGTGTTTCAGTTTGAGGGGTATTATAAGACATTGTTTACCTCTGTTTCAGTTTGTGGGTTGTAATAAGGCCTACTCTTAGTATGTGTCTTGTGTGTTTCAGTTTGAGCTGTGTTATAATGCTTTATGTGTTGTTTCAGTTTGAGGGCTGTAATAAGGCCTACTCTCGCCTGGAGAACCTGAAGACCCACCTGCGGTCTCATACAGGGGAGAAGCCGTATGTCTGTGAACACGAGGGATGCAACAAAGCCTTCTCCAACGCCTCAGACAGAGCCAAGCACCAGAACCGCACACACTCCAATGAGGTACACACTATCAATCAACCAAACAATCAGACAATCAATCACACTAACTCGAACTGCTGACATCATCACTTGCTTAAAGGGATTGTTCACTCAAATTATTGATTTAAATTGTTTTATGAATACTTAGTGAATGATCTATCGATTACGTTGAAATCTATGATTTATCTCACAGATTTATCTCTTGTTTTGACATCATGAGAGACTATTTGAAATACAGATGGCATAAGAAATAACTTCAAATAGTTACAAATGTCTGACCTGAATTCAAGTTTTGTTACCATGTCCAATCGTGTTGTGTCCTCCTGTCCCACTACAGAAGCCGTATGTGTGTAAGATCCCTGGGTGTACGAAACGCTACACAGACCCCAGCTCTCTGAGGAAGCACGTGAAGACAGTCCACGGCCCTGAGGCTCACATCACTAAGAAGCACAGAGGAGACACTGGGCCCCGGCCGCCTGGCTCATCACTGACCACTGGTGGACAGTCTGGTGAACTGGTGCTGGAGAAAGAGGAGGCTGGACACAGGGAGGACTGCAAACTGCTGGCGCCTGAATCTGCTCTGGTGAGTTTAGACCATTGGAGGCTCCTGAGGGGAGGATGGCTCATAATAATGGCAGGAACGGAGCGAATGGAATGGCATCAAACACCTGGAAACCATGCGTTTGATGTATTTGATACTATTCCGCTTCAGCCTTTACCACAAGCCCGTTCTCCCCAATTAAGGTGCCACCAACCTCCTGTGGTTTAGACTGGAGAACTGAGAATGAAATCTTCTTCTTCTGACTCAACTCCTGCTCTCTGTGGTGTCCATCTTCTATAGAGTTCTTCCAAATGTTTTAAGCTACATGTATTAAGCTACATTATCATCTCTCTTTCTTCCAGAAGTCTCAGCCCAGTCCGGGTGGCCAGTCGTCCTGCAGTAGCGAGCGTTCTCCACTGGGGAGCACCAACAACAACGACAGTGGTGTGGAGATGAACCTGAACGCAGCAGGGAGTCTGGAGGACCTGACCGCTCTGGAGGACGGAGGGGCGGGAGGAGGAGGGGAGGCGGGGGGAAGAGGGCAGGGCACGGCAGGGATGGGGGGCATGTCGGCTCAGGCCCTAAAGAGACTAGAGAACCTGAAGATAGACAAGCTGAAACAGATCAGACGGCCCACTCCACCCGGACGCTGTGGTAGGAGTAGCAAGCTACCAGCACTCACAGGTATGTAAAGTCGCTTGTAGATGAAAAACTATGGTTGAACCAGTGATTTTAAACCTGGTCCTCATCTATAGAGGACCATTTACCTAAAATCGGACCTGGGAGTAAGATGCTTAGCTTGGATTCAGTTCACAATACTTATGCTTTCCTCTTGAACAACCCTTGAAGAGTAAGGCCAACTCAAACTTATGCACTGCAGTGCATAGATGATATCGATTGAAGCAAAAAATGACATTCACTCTCAAATTGTAGCAGTATTTTCTGTGCCAGACATTTAATTTGATGTTTCTCATCCTGTCTTGTTTCTCCAGGTGGTCCAGGAGAGATGATGGGAGGGATGTGTTCTCCCTCACCCATCCTCTCCAACCGCCGTGTCATGGAACTGTCCAATCACGAGCTGGGGGGCGGACCCTCTGGCATGGCCCTCCCTATCAGTGACCGGAGGGGGAGTAGCACCAGCAGCCTGAGCTCTGCCTACACAGTGAGCCGTCGATCTTCCATGGTGTCCCCCTACCTCTCCAGCCGGCGCTCGAGCGAGGTCTCCCAGTTAGGAGTAGGAGGAGGTAATATTTTTGTTTTGTAACTTTGTCTTCTTTTAATCATTACATGTTATTTGTTTAACCATGGTCCTCCATGGCACTTTGGAAACAACTGTTTTCATTAATGTTTTTAAAGAGATTCTCCGGTACTTTTGTATACTTTTTAGCCAGTAGTTCTGAAAGTAGTGTTCCCGAGCCAAAAGTGGTCCCCCAAAATTGTGTACTACATCATATATGTGCAGACATACAGTACAAGTCGAAAGTTTGGACACACCTACTCATTCAAGGGTCTTTCTTTCTTTTTACTATTTTCTACATTGTAGAATAATAGTGAATACATCAAAACTATGAAATAACACATATGGAATCATGCAGTAACCAAAAAAGTGTTAAACAAATCAAAATATATTTTATATTTGAGAATCTTCAAATAGCCACCGTTTGCCTTGATGACCGCTTTGCACAGTCTTTTATTACTTGTTAAACCAAATATATATATATTTTTCAATTGTATTAGTGTAAAATAATATATTTTCCCTTTTTTTGCATACAATATAGCTCCGTATTTGTATTATTTATTTTATACAGTCTTTTTTGCTCATCTTTGTCCAAGGTGCCAATATATATTTTACCAATCGAACGATACAGCTGTGTTAGTAACTGCATCAAACTACTTTTCTTCTCAACTTTTACAAACAACTGAAATGTGGACCACTTTCCCAGCACTTTAGACAACAACTTAGGGGGTATGACATCTTGGTCTGCATATCTGCTATTTAAATCTGAAATCAGAACAGAAATAACTTCTACCAATCAAGAGGTACAGCTGTTTTAGTAACTGCGTCCACTACATTCATTAAGCTAACTTCCCACTGTTGAATTAACTTTCATAGAACTGTAAGAAAATTCCAATTTTAGCACTTGGGGAGCACATTCTAAACATGAGACAATGAGTTAACATTGTGACCTTTGACACAAATCAGCTACTTATACCATTTTCCCAACAAGCTAGGTATGAAATCTTAGTCTACTTCTCCGCTATTCAAATCTGGAATCAGAATATAAATATATTTTACCAATCAAATTATAGCACTGGGGGACAGGGTTGGGTAGTAACGGATTTCATGTAACGGGGATTATGGAACCGATTACAAATATGAACTAACTGTAATCAGCTCTGATTACTTTTTCAAAATGTGTAATCGGATTACAGTTACATTCTTAAAGACGTCTTCCAGCGATTATTTAAGTTTTACTGTTGAAAAGCCCAAATAGTGTTTTTTAGACACAACTGCAGACTTCAAGGAGTAGGGCATTCAAGGAGTTGGTCTGATGGGAATCTGTGATGACTTGCTTGAGGAACAATAGAGGAGCAATAGAGAACAAAAGAGGAAAGGCCCACCCCCCCACTTGTGCTATGTCATGACTTACCTGGACCACCTATTGAGAAGTAAATCAGGTGTTAAATTAGGTGAAAAGGAGACTGGAGTGCCACTTTAAAAACCGCTGATTACATTTGGGATTACTTCATCTAATATCAAAAGGGAAAATGTATAAAACTGTAAGCATTGTTGTCATTTAGCGCACCCTCTTCTCACATGCTTAAATATTTTATTGTTCTGCTGATCACCCATCAAGGGTTGATAGCTTATTTTGAATTCAAACACATTTAATGAATAGGCTTTCGAAACATTTAACCTGGCCCACTGGTCAATCAAACAGTCGTCTGGTCATCTAAAAACACTGTCTTGAACACAACCACTGTTGTTACTGTAGTGGAGAAGAGGGCCAAGCTTTCTGTAGGTCTGAATATTATGTATCAACTCCTGTAGCTCAGTTGGTAGAGCATGGCGCTTGCAACGCCAGGGTTGTGGGTTCGATTCCCACGTGGGGCCAGTATGAAAAATGTATGCACTCACTAACTGTAAGTCGCTCTGGATAAGAGCATCTGCTAAATGACAAAAAAAACTAATTTTTTAATAAATATATATTTTTTAAACACGCCGGCCATTCAAGGTGAGTGCATTGGCCTATTCATTCAATTTACTGATATCAATTACGCTGCTAACTATAAGTAGCCTAAATATTAGGCTATATTATTTAGAGTAACTGATCTAGCTAACCACTTCTTCAGGTGGTGAATTAGCCCCAAATGAATTAGCCTATGTGATATTAGTGCCCAGAAAAATAGACAAATGTAGACAAATTAATCTCTATTGAACAAAAAATTAAATAAATCGTGAACCCTATTTTGGCAGTAAAATAATAGCAACAAAATTCATGACAATCACTGGTTTAGGTTGCGCATCAAGATATCTGGAATCATGCATTCCTGTGTGGACTTGTTAGATTAAACACTTAATTTATTGAATCATACCATCATAGTATAGAACACTTCTTAATGAAGAGCGTTGAATTACTTTATACTATAATTATATAGGTATAATTTATACTATAATTTGGTCGCACCAAATTTGACCAAATCACTGAAAACGTTAGTATGGAACCCTGTGACTATAGATGCGCAGACCGTTCCATTGACCAGATTGGCGCACATTCAACAAATCTTATCTACCAAAGTCGATACTCGTCAAATCCGTCAAGATGTATTGTAACAGACCCACAATGTGGTTACTTAAGTCTGATTTGGAAATACAGTGCATTCGGAAAGTATTCAGACCCCATGACTTTTTCCACATTTTGTTACATTACAGCCTTATTCTAAAATTGATTAAATTGTTTTTTTCCCCTCATCAATCTACACACAATACCCAATAATGACAAAGCAAAAACAGGTTTTCTGATATTTTTGCAAATGTATAATTTAAAACTGAAATATTACATTTACATAAGTATTCAGACACTTTACTCAGTACTTTGTTGAAGCACCTTTGGCAGCGATTACAGAGTCTTCTTGGGTATGACGCACACCTGTATTTGGGGAGTTTCTCCCATTCTTCTCTGCAGATCCTCGCAAGCTCTGTCAGGTTGGATGGGGAGCGTCGCTGCACAACTATTTTCAGGTCTCTCCAGAGATGTTAGATCGGGTTCAAGTCTGGGCTCTGGCTTGGCCACTCAAGGACATTCATAGACTTGTCCCCAAGCCAGTCCTGCGTTATTTTGGCTGTGTGCTTAGGGTCGTTGTCCTGTTGGAAGGTGAACCTTCGCCTCAGTCTGAGGTCCTGAGCACTCTGGAGCAGATTGTCATCAAGGATCTCTCTGTACTTTGCTCCGTTCATCTTTCCCTCGATCCTGACTAGTCTCCCAGTCCCTGCCGCTGAAAAACATCCCCACAGCATGATGCTGCCACCACCATGCTTCACCGTAGGGATGGTGCCAGGTTTCCTCCAGACGTGACGCTTGGCATTCAGGCCAAAGAGTTCAATCTTGGTTTCATCAGACAAGAGAATCTTGTTTCTCATGGTCTGAGAGTCTTTAGGTGCCTTTTGGCATACTCCAAGCGGGCTGTCATGTGCCTTTTACTGAGAAGTGGCTTTAGTTTGGCCACTCTACCATAAAGGTCTGATTGGTGGAGTGCTGCAGAGATGATTGTCCTTCTGGAAGGTTCTCCCATCTCCACAGAGGAACTCTGGAGCTCCATCAGAGTGACCATCGGGTTCTTGGTCACCTCCCTGACCAAGGCCCTTCTCCCCCGACTGCTCAGTTGGCTGGGCGGCCAGCTCTAGAAAGAGCCTTGGTGGTCCCAAACTTCTTCCATTTAAGAATGATGGAGGCCACTGTGTTCTTGGGGACCTTGAATGCTGCAGAAATTGTTGGTACCCTTCTCCAGATCTGTGCCTCAACACAATACTGTCTCTGAGTTCTACGGACAATTCCTTCGACCTCATGGCTTGGTTTTTGTTCTGACATGCACTGTCAACTGTGGACCTTATATAGACAGGTGCGTGCCTTTCCAAATCATGTCCAATCAATTGAATTTACCAAAGGTGGACTCCAATCAAGTTGTAGAAACATCTCAAGGATGATCAATGGAAACAGGATGCACCTGAGCTCAATTTCGAGTCTCATAGCAAAGGTATCTGTTTTTTCTTTCTTAATGTGCAAACATTTCTAAAAACCTGTTTTCGCTTTGTCAATATGGGGTATTGTGTGTAGATTGATGAGGGAAAACATTTTATTTAATCAATTTTAGAATAAGGCTGTAACGTAACAAAATGTGGAAAAAGTCAAGGGGTCTGAATACTTTCCAAATGCACTGTATCTAAAACATTCACTATTAGTACTGCAAAATACTGATGCTAGTACTTCTGGGCTACTTACTAATAATAATACTACTACCTAGTCTCCCGCTGAAGGCTACTATCATTTATTTATAAAACACTCTACTACACCAGCCTCAATTTTTCAACACTAACAAACTACTAATCTTCTTCCACTAGATGCACCATCATATTTCTCTCCCCAAATAATAGCTTAAAACTTTTCTAATTCCTTATGAGTAAAAGTGTAGTTATTTGTGATGGAATATGTGATCTAACTACCCCATACTCCAAAGTAATAAGGTTTATATAGTAGTCGATCAACGTAATCAGACCAGATATTTTAATATATTAACCTTTGACTATATTTCACTGCTTCAGTAAAACATTTTAAACTTTTAAAGAGCTGAAGCAAGTCCCACAATGTTTCTTCATGGAAAATTACCTTCTAGTTTAGTTTAAAAACTAAATTTCAAATTCAATTGAAGGGTTCCTGGGTCCTGAGCAGGGAGGAGGTGACCCCCTCTCCCCTGAGACCAGCCGCCGAAGAGGGCCCTGCCATGGTGTTGGATCGGGAGGAGGGTTGCCAGGTCTGCCTTGTCTAACACCCGCTCAGCAGTACAGCCTGAAGGCTAAGTATGCAGCAGCAACTGGCGGCCCACCCCCTACCCCGCTGCCCAGTATGGAACAGGGACCAGGGACACCCGGGAGACGAGGAGGGTTCCTCAGCGAGTACCAGGTACAGACTCTTCTTGTTAGTTTGGTTTTTAATTAGTGTGGCTTGAGTTGCAAAATTCTGGTAACTTTCTCAAAATGTCCAGCTTTTCTGAATTCTGGAAAACCTGGGAATTTTTGGAATTTTGCAACCCTTAATATGGCTAGTTTTGTATTCTTTTGAATATCTTATTCCTAAGTATTTTTTTAGCATTCTTTGCTTTTATTTATTTTATTTTGGACAGCAACTTGAGTTGGCGGCAGGTAGCCTAGCGGTTAAGAGCGTTGGCCCAGTAACTGACAGGTGAAAAATGTGTCTATGTGCCCTTGAGCAAGGCACTTAACCCTAATTGCTCCTGATAAGAGCATCTGCTAAATGACTAAAATGTAAATGTATGAAATGTGCTATACAATTTAAGTGTATCATTATTATTATTATTATCCCCAGGGTCAGCCGCTACCTACGTTCCTGCAGCAGGGGGGTCCGAGGAGACACAGTGCCAAAATGGGGGAGTATGGCACCGGGGTCATCTACCCCCACCAAGCCCCAGGGAATGCCACCCGGCGTGCCAGCGACCCCGTCCGCTCCACCGGCGACCCACAGGCCCTTCCCAAGGTTGTTGTTGTTGTTGGTAGTAGTAGTAGATTAAATTACTAAGACTGCTTTATTGTTGTTGCTAGCTATGTATTTGAGTATTTACACGTTCAATAAATGTTGATTTGATTTTGTTTCCCAAGGTGCAACGCTTCAACAGCCTGAACAATGTGGCCATGATGGGCCGGAGGAACGCCCTGCAGCATTGTGGGTCGGACGCCAACATCGCCCGCCACATGTACTCGCCGCGGCCACCCAGCATCACAGAGAATGTAATGATGGAGGCCATGGCTATGGACTCCCATGGAGCAACCACGGATGCCAGAAACCACTGCATGATGCTTCCTCCAAGAGAAAGAGGCTTCCTGGGCTACCAGTCCCACCACATGGGGGGTCCCACCAGCCTGTTATCACCCAGCCACGACAGCCTGGGTTGCCCAGAGCAGGGCTACCAGACACAGGGACAGATGTTCATGCAGGGTGGCCACTACCAGGGCACATCCAGAGGACCAGGTCAGGGCCAGATGGGGCAGGGGGGACCCATTCACCCAGAGGGTATGTCCAACATCTTGCTGCGGCAGGCTGAGTACAGTATGAGTACCTGCCAGCTTAGTCCCTCCGGACCACACTACCCCAGCCTGGACCAGGGCGGCCCCGATGGAGGGACAGGGCCCTGGGTAGAGAGCAGCCAGGTCCAGACCACTCATGGAGCTCTTCAGACGGGGATGCAGTATCAGGACCAGGGCTCTATGCAGGGCCAGACACAGGGTCTCTACAGTAGCCAGCAGGGTCTGTACACCCAAGGGCCTGATGGCGGACACAAACTGACCATCAAACCAGAGCAGCAGCAGTACCACCCAGCCCTAGCCAACCCAGATGCCTGCCAGAAGCAACTCCACCAACACCAGCAGCAGAGGCCCCATCCAGGGCAGACACCCATGCCCATGCAACCCATGTCCTCCCAGAGCGGTTACCCCCAGCAGGGGCAGCCTGGCCAGGGCATGATGAGGACCACCAACCCCAGCTGTGACTTCCATGGAGGAGGCATGGAGAACCAGAACCAGGCCTCCATGCAGCAAGGGAAGAAGCAGGGTTCCTTCCCCCAAAGCGGAGGCATCAGCCTGGGGTCGGCTGGGCTGGGTGCTGGGGGTCGCTCCCAGACGCCCATGATGCAGGTGAAGGAGATGATGGTGAGGAACTATGTGCAGTCGCAGCAGGTTCTGATGTGGGGTCAGGAGCAGGACCAGAGGGGGATAGGAGTGGACGGGAAACCTCTTCCTCTGTCAGACAGCATGGACATGACAGGACAGCAGGTGACTTGTTTTCCCTCTCCCTTTTTCTTCTGCTCTTTGTTCCCCCTCTTTTGGTAAAGTGTTTTGTGATGTTTTCAAGGACATTTCCTGAATAAAATGTGTGTGCTTCTTTTGTCTTGAAGTATTTATGGTAGCACTTTAACTAAATGTTGATCTCATTTTATTTGATTCAGGTGGCCATGATGCAGCAACAGCAGCAGCATAGTCCCCAACACCAACAGAACCTCTACCCCAACCCAGGCTCCAGCTACCCTGGCTACCCCACCAACCAGAACCTGATGAGCCCCCCAGCACACAACCGAGTCCCCAGCTCTAGCTCCTCCATCCCCCCGACGGAGGTACCCATGATGGGCCTGCCTGGAGGCCCAGGGTCCTGCTACGGCCAGGACATGGGGGCCCCTGTGGTCCCAAGACCCCCCCAGTGCCGGAAGCCCCTCATCAGGCAGAATAGTGTCCAGTCCCAGGAAGGTGGAGGGTACCTGGGCAGTCCTCCTCACCTCAGCCCAGTCCACTCTACCTCCAGCCCTAGGAGTGTGGTCCGTCTGCCCCCTGTCCAGAGCCATCAGACCCACCAGGAGATCTTCTCCCCCTCAAACAACATCAACAACAACATGTACTACTCTGGCCAGATCCACATGCATCACCCTGACATGGACAAGCAGCAGATCAGCCACCCTCACCAGGATCCAACCCAGACCGGGCCCTGCCTCGACCAGCACCAACACCAACAGCACCTGGTAACCCACATGGATCACCAGGGCAATAAGTCTGCGTCCCTAGCCTACCTTCATGAGTCGACCCCCATCTCCAATGCTCTGGAGAACCTAGATCTGGACAACGCCCAGATAGACTTTACCTCCATCATCGACGACCCAGACCCCTCGTCATTCAGCCCCATCAACCCTCCTCTCCATGGGGGTTCATCCCAGACCTCATCCCGCCTCACCACCCCCCAGACATCCATCACCCTGCCCCCCTCTGGGCTCCCTAACATGGCTGTAGGAGACATGACCTCCATGTTGACCTCTCTGGCCGGAGAGAACAAGTACCTTAATACACTGTCTTAGAACCTGAAGACACTGTTCTAGAACAAGAACAGAACCTGAACACGCTCATAAAGTTAACTAGAGGGGCTAAGCTCCCTGGGTGGGGAGAGAAAGTACCTAGACATACTCTCCTAGACTCAACTACACTGAACAAGTACCGAAACGTTTCTCATTTACTAGACAAGTACCTAAACACATTGTCCTAGAACAAGTGCGTGTGGAGGGACACACTGTCATAGACTAGACTAGAGGGGCTCAGCTCAGTGGCACTGGTGTTAGGTCACCTATAAAGATAAAGGTACTGTAAATAATGCCTCTCTCTCTTGGCCTCCCACACACTCGTTCCCAGCTACTCCTAGAGGCTTTCAACCCAAACCAAAGGTACCTATCGATCTCGATCTTGATCTTGCTCACAGTGTACTATACTCTACTCACTGTTCTGGCTCACAGAGAAGGGAAAGGAGACGCAGAATTGTTTTCCTAAAATGACTTGCAGAATGTTTCCATGGGACGTCAACACCATAACGACGTCATCACCATAACGGCATCGTCAACATAACGGCGTCATCACCGTAATAACGTCGTCACCATAACGACACCAACACCATAATGGTGTCATCTCCGTAACAATTTAATCACCATAATGACAGTCATTCCAGTCACAGTTTTATAGGGCAACAATTGGACAGAGAGGATAATATGTAAATAAATTATACATTTACATATATGCTGTGTACACTATATATACAAAAGTATGTGGACACCACTACAAATTAGTGGATTCGGCGATTTCAGCCACACCCGTTGCTGACAGGTGTATCAAATCGAGCACACAGCCATGCAATCTCCATAGACAAACATTGGCAGTAGAATGGCCTTACTGAAGAGTTCAGTGACTTTCAACGTGGCACCGTCCTAGGATGCCACCTTTCCAACAAGTCAGTTCGTCAAATTTCTGCCCTGCTAGAGCTGCCCCGTTCAACAGCAAGTGCTGTTATTGTGAAGTGGAAACGTCTAGGAGCAACAATGGCTCATTTGCGAAGTGGTAGGCCACACAAGCTCACAGAACGGGAATGCCGAGTGCTGTAGCGCGTTACGCGTAAAAATCGTCTGCAACATTCACTACCGAGTTCCAAACTGCCTCTGGAAGCAACTTCAGCACAATAACTGTTCGTAGAGAGCTTAATGACATGGGTTTCCATGGCTGAGCAGCTGCACACAAGCCTAAGATCAGCATGCGCAATGACATGCGTCGGCTGGAGTGGTGTAAAGCTGGAGTGGTGTTGGACTCTGGAGCAGTGGAAACGCGTTCTCTGGAGTGATGAATCACACTTCACCATCTGGCAGTCCGACGGACTAATCTGGGTTTGGCGGATGCCAGGAGAACGGTACCTGCTCAAATGCATAGTGCCAACTATAAAGTTTGGTGGAGGAGGAATAATGGTCTGGGGCTGTTTTTCATGGTTCGGGCTAGGCCCCTTAGTTCCAGTGAAGGGAAATCTTAACGCTACAGCATACAATGACATTCTAGACGATTCTATGCTTCCAACTTTATGGCAACAGTTTGGGGTAGGACCTTCTCTGTTTCATCATGACAATGCCCCCATGCACAAAGCGAAGTCCATACAGAAATGGTTTGTCGAGATCGGTGTGGAAGAACTTGACTGGCCTGCACAGAGCCCTGACCTCAACCCCATCGAATACCTTTGGGATGAATTGGAATGCCTTTGAGCCAAGCCTAATCGCCCAACATCAGTGCCCGACCTCACTAATGCTCTTGTGGCTGAATGGAAGCAAGTCCCCACAGCAATCTTCCAACATCTAGTGGAAAGCCTTCCCAGAAGAGTGGAGGCTGTTATAGCAGCAAAGGGGGACCAACTCCTTATTAATGCCCATGATTTGGAATGAGATGTTTGACGAGCAGGTGTCCACTTACTTTTGGTCATGTAGTGTTTATGACAATGTTGACAGTGACGGAACTCTACTGTCTGTCTCGTGGGCAGCTTGGGGAATTCCGAGACCAACAGATCAGATTCTAGATTCTTATTCTGGTTCTGTAATGAGAACGGAGGTCAACAAAGCTGTTCCGAGGATGAATGTTTAGTAGAAGAAAAAAAATATTGACAGAAAAATGCATCAGTGCTTTAAAGCTTCATCTATATCCCCAGGAACACAACCCTGTCAGTGACACACAAAACATTATGATGACACACACACACACACATAATGAAGACATATCATATCAGTATTCACTCAGAGGCCTTTTTGGCATGAATCTGCTTCCATACTCTGAATCTGTTGTACGGTGAAGTACATGTTTTTAGACATGTTACATGTTTATTGTAGCTAAGTGTTCTTAAAGCAGCTCACTCTTTTACAAGTATAGGGGTCATAGGATAAGAACATAAAAAAAGTGCCTTTGTCTAAACGTATCCATGGCGCTTGAGAGGTACAGAGAATAAAAGAGAGAGAGGGATTGAGAGAGAGGGAGAAAGGTGGCACTACAGAATTCAATTAAATATTGTATCTGGGACAGTATCACACGACCCAACTCGGTCCCATATTTTACAGGGTGTTAAAGATGCCTTCCCTCACCCTGAAAACCTTCAACAGGATTTATAATTGATTGGGTGTTACGGCGTTGAGGTACTCTATCTGAGGTACGTTATAGTGTACAGTATGTGGCGGTGAGGCCCTCTGACCATAGAAATAGAATCAGTCCACCTATTATTCCATCATTGACTTGAATGGGGAGGTCCTTTCTATAGATTCTAGAGTCTATAACTCTGACAGCCTGTCCGCAGCCATGACCAGTAGAGCTGATATCACATGACGTCATACTGTAGCATTGCACTGACTGCAGCATTGCATGGAGGTGGACGAGTCTCTCTCCTTGGCTTTGTGACACAGAGACTGTCTAGAGGCCAACACATAGGCCTACGTGGCTATGATGTCATGTAAACATCAGCTTGGAGGATAATGGAATGTATCTTACAGTAGTATCTATCTGTTTGGATGGTTATTCTAGATCACGTTTACACACAACTACAGTAGGTCCTATGAGGCTGTATTTGAAATCAAATCACATTTTATTGGTCACATACACATATTTAGCAGATGTTTTTGCGGGTGTAGCGAAATGCTTGTGTTCCTAGCTCCAACAGTGCAGTAGTATCTAACAATTAATTTCAGTATTGGTGCCTTTTTAATCCTGCTTTGTTATTACTAGTACTTTACTGTTGTTCTTAATACAGGATTAGGGCCCAGAGTTAGTAGTCAGGAAAAACTCCTGGTCCTGCCCAGCATTGACTTGTCATCTAGTCAGGAAAACTCTGTATAATCTACCAACCTACCAAAGACGATTTGAACTAACAATATTCAAGGAAAATAAAAAGATGCACCATACTCACAGTCACAGCTATGAAGATGTGAATGGTTTGATAGTGCTGTTACTTAGAATGTATGAAATGTCTTGTATAAAAGTAACATGTTCTCTTTTCGTTTTTATAAGAATGAACTTTATCATGGATATTTGCCTTTCTTCTCAGTGCTGTGTGTTTTGATACCTGTCTGTCACCATTCAAGACTTTTTGCTGGCAAAATAATATTCTGTTAAGCAACAAAGGCTATGATAGTAGCGTTTTCTATATACACGACATCCAAGTGATATATTTTGTGTACAATTTTCAAAATTTTATACAAATGTACTATATTTTACCAGTTAAAAATAAACATGTTCAGCTTGGGATGGATGAAAAATGTCTTTCAGAACTTTATGTATCTTACTGTATATTTCACTTACTTGATCTTACTGCATTTGTGTGAGGTTCTTATTGACTTCTATTGACTTGTATCCACACAAAATGTCTAAGTAAATGCAATGTCTCCATACAGCCACCAGAGTTCAGTGTAGTATGATACACATGGGAGAGACAGGAACTGTATATTTGGATGGGCAGCCAACCAGATGTGGAAATATAGGGGAACCCCATTATTTAGGTCTATGGGGGAACCCGAGGGAACCAGGTTCTGGCAGGGAAATCATTTTGACATGTTCAAATGTACATTTCAAAGTGAATTGGACAATTTTTACTTGGTGGGTTCCTGGAGTTACTTTTTTTCCATTTCCACCCCTGCAGCCAACACAAACCTACAGTGCCTTCAGAAAGTATTCATACCCCTTGACTTATTCCACATTTTGTTGTGTTACAGCCTGAATTCAAAATGGATTAAATTATAATTGTTTCTAACCCATCTACACACAATACCCCATAATGCCAGTGAAAACATGTTTTTAAGAAATGTTAGCAAATGTATTGAAAATGAAATACAGAAATATCTCATTGGCATAAGTGTTCACACCCTGAGTCGATACTTTGTAGAAGCACCTTTGGTAGTGATTACAGCTGTGAGTCTTTCTGGATAAATCTCTAGGAGCTTTCCACACCTGGATTGTGCAACATTTGCCCATTATTCTTTTCAAAATTCTTCAAGTTCTGTCAAATTGGTTGCCATACATTTTCAAGTGAATGTAAGTCAAAACTGTGACTCAGCCACTCAGTAACGTTCACTGTCTTCATGGTAAGCAACTCCAGTGTAGATTTGGCCTTGTGTTTTAGGTCCTGCTGAAAGGTGAAATAATTTCCCAGTGTCTGGTGGAAAGCAGACTGAACCAGGTTTTCCTCAAGGATTTTGTCTGTGCTTAGCACCATTCTGTTTCTTTCTTATACTGAAAAACTCCCCAGTCCTTAACAATTACAATCATAAAGATGCTACTCAATATAATCTGTCGATGTGCCCTTGAGCAAGGCACTTAACCCTAATTGCTCCTGTAAGTCGCTCTGGATAAGAGCGTCTGCTAAATGACCAATTTATTTATTTATTTATACCCATAACATAATGCACTCAGTAATGTGTTGCATTGGATTTGCCCCAAACATAACATTTGGATTCAGGACAAAAAGTTAATTGCTTTGCCAAATTTGTTGCAGTATTACTTTAGTGCATTGTTGGAAACAGGA